CTAACTCAGGAACAGTCTGTGACCTGGCTCTGGGTTCTCAATTATTGGAGGCTGCTGAGAACTGACCACCAGGGAGGTGTTAGTTCAGCTCATGACGACTTGGTGCCTTCAGAAGTGCTGGTTTCTTACTGGCCTTTGGAGCTACGCGATGCTCTGAACAAATTTTATGGTCTGTATCTTGCAAGTGACTTGGCTTAGAGCTAAATTAATTGGGCTCAGCATCCTCGCTCTGATCCTGGTCATATTTTGATGTCTCAGCTGGGTCATCACTGCCTCTGTTTTTTTAATCTTGCAGCAACTTGGCTGCAGCCTCTGCAACTGCTGGCACCAGGACGTGATTCTGGCTGGGAATCCCACTCTGCCGCCTCCATCCCAGTGGATGCAGAAGATCTGGATTTGGGGTGTTGAGATGGGTTTTGCTGGACATCAGTGAGGTCTATTTTCATTCTCAACGGCCTAAAAGCAGGTGGGATGCTGTGGGCAGGGCCCAGCACCACCTCACTGCAGCAGCAGGAGGAATGGAAGCATCAGGTCAAGCTAGGATCGAAATGCTTGTGCAATTTATCAGGAAAAGGGAAATAAGTCAGGAGCAGAGGTACTCCTGGATCAGAACAGAGCAGTTCACACACAGCCCCTCTGCCACAGTGAATGGAGACATGAGATACAGTCAGTGAATCCTGAAATCTCCTGGGATTAAATGATTACATTAATCTTTGCTTTCTCTAAACTGCGGTAACAGCAATAGCCACACGCTGGTGCCAGCCCAGATCCCTCTGCTGACTTCATTGTGCTTGGCTGGGGACTTCACACAGTCAAGAGGCAAGTGGAAATGCAAAGCCCCCCCTGTCCCCACTCTGTCCCTGCTCGCTTTGCCTGCTGCCTCCAGAGATGCTGCAGGGCAGGAGCATTGCTGCAGATGAGGTGTTCTTGGGAAGTCTCCCAGATGGCTGCCCCTTGCTGGAGCACTTTAACACACAGGCACTGTGTGTGTGGTGACCACCCTTGCAATGCAGAGGGTCCCTGGGGCCACCATTTTCCATCCATCCATTTCCAAACTCCCCAACTATTCTTTGCCCCTGTTATGTCATACTTAGCACTTTATTCATGCAGGGAAAGAGCTGATGAAATTCTTTTTTTTTTTTTTTAAACCCAGTATCAATGTTTACACAACTGAGCTAAATTATTTATACACATAACGTTACAGGTTTCACATCAGTGGCTTTTATTAGCATTCAGAGGATGAGAAGTCATACCTGACCTACTTGTAGAAGCTCCTCTTGTGCCTCTCCATGGCACAGCGGGTGGTGGGGAAAGGGCGAAGGTGCCTTATGTTAGAAACTTAAAGGGAGCCCACAGACAGGAGGGGAATCAACTCTTTGAAAGGGTAAATAACTGCAGGACAAGGGGAAATGGTTTTAAGTTGAAGGAGGGAAGATTCAGCTTGGATGTCAGGGGGCAGTTCTTTACAGAGGGAGTGGTGAGGTGCTGGAACAGGCTGCCCAGAGAGGTTGTGGATGCCAGCCCATGGAGGTGTTCAAGGCCAGGTTGGATGGGGCCCTGGGCAGCCTGGTCTGGTATTAAATGTGGAGGCTGGTGGCCCTGCCTGTGGCAGGGGGGTTGGAGATTTGTGATCCTTGAGGTTCCTTCCAACCCTGGCCATTCTGTGATTCTGTGACATGGGGGAGGATGTGTATAGATGCATTGTTTTGCAAAGTCTCTTGAGATGGCAGCTACGCCTGTCCATTCAGGAGGACACGGCAGTGGAGTGGGACACCCTACACCCTGCTTGCTTACCTGCAGCCCTGGAGTTGTCCTGAGACCGTGTCCCTGCTCAGGTTGGATGTCAGGAAAAGTTTCTTCTCAGGAAGAGTGATGAGGCATTGGCACAGGCTGCCCAGGGAGGTGGTGGAGTCACCATCCCTGGAGGTGTTCAAGGAAAGGGCAGATGTGGCACTGAGGGACGTGGTTAATGGGCATGGTGGGGGTGGGCTGACGGACTGGATGATCCTAAGGGTCTTTTCCAACCTTATTGATTCTCTGACCCTATGAAGCAGAGCAGTGCTGCCAGCCTGTTGCCAACCTGAGCAGAGCTCGGTTTCCTTGGGGCAGCAGCTGTCCCCCCACCGGCAGTGCCTCCTCTCGAAGGCTGCATCCATCAGGGCCACCATTCTCCAAACAGAGATGGTGCAACGGCGTGTGCTTCCCTGCCAGCCGCTTCTCAACCGACATGTCACAGGCACTTCAGATGCCTTTCTTCTTGTCTTGCAATTAATGCATTTTTTATAAAGCCCAGGCTTCAGTTTCCTTTCATGTCACCGGGAGGATATCCTTTTCCTGTTAAGCTTCAGAAGGATTTTTTTCACCCAAAGCATTAATCTCTGGTGCCCTGTAAATAGGACAGGCTGCTGGAGCTTCGGTCCTGGAGCTGCTTTAACAGATGGAGCAGCGCTGCTGCATCCCAGCCATAGGCAAGATCTGCTGCGCTGTGGTTCCTGGCAAAGTGCAAATGAAATTATCACTGGACTTTTCCCTAGCAAGTGCTCCCGAGTGCTCCATGCAGAAGCCAGAAGAGGAGCAGCAAGGCACTCTTCTGCTCCACCAGCTCCTTGTAATGGATTGAGGATTACCAGGAACGTGTATCTTCAGGAAATACTTCCTGAGGCTACACAGCATTTGATGAGGGTGTGGTAATAAATGACCAAGTGTATATCTTTGCGGATACTCCAAATTACGAGTAGTGGTTCGTCCTTCCTATGTGTTGTTTCCATAGAAGCAGAGCTTAACCTTTTAAATGAAGATTGTAAAGGCACCTAATTCAATTAAAATTAGGCTTCAAGCATATCAGCACTTAATGCTTATGTGATTGGACATAGCCATTGTTCTGACTGACAGGCAGTTGTTTCCATCAGAAGCAGAAAAATAGCACTGTGGTGGCAACCTCTGGGGTTTTCCATGTTTTCTTGTACAGTCCATGACTTGCTAGTTCATTCCTTTTCCTTTTGGTTTCAAACTAAAAGAGGAGAGATTTAGACTGGATATAAGGAAGAAGTTTTTTACAGCAAGGGTGAGGAGGCAACAGGAAGTTGCCCAAAGAGTGGATGCCCCTTTCCCAGAGATGCTCAAGGTCTGCTGCATGGGCTCTGAGCATCTGATGGAGCTGTAGGTTCATTACAGGACCGTTGGACCAGATGGCCTTTAAGGGTCCTTTCCAACTCAAATGATTCTGTGATCCTATGTTTCGATGAAACAGGGAAACAGCACAGAACACAGAAAGGCACATTCAATTAAAGTCATTTATTGTAGGGTTGTTTTTTTGTTGTTTTTTTTTTTTCTGGATTGACAGAAAGAGGGTTTCCCAGAGATCGGTAACACAACACAATGTTATACACCAGCTCACAACTAGTCCCTTGTCGCTTTATTAAGAACATAGTAATTTAAAAATATCTAAATATTTACATATTAATAAAACTTATATACAGAAGATTGAGACATTTTTACCTAAATATGGAATGATTTTTTTTTTTTTTTTCTTTCTAATAAACCCTATAAAAAGATTTCTGAAGAAAGTCTGCACAGTAGTCACAGTTAAGTAAACACAAACGCAATCTCCAAAATGTACAAAACGCAGATTCCATCGCCCAAGTGTTACGAGACGGACACGACGGGGCGCCGCCGCCCCTGCCCAATGCACACAACTCCAAGCCATGATGAAGGAAAGACTCTGTTAAGGTTTGCAGTGCACATTCAATATATTCCACAGTTTTAGAGAAGACACGGCCATTCCTAAAAGTACATCATTGCGGGTGGGGAGGGCTGGGTGCCTGGCTCCTCGGGTGCTGGGTGAACGCATCACAGTGTTGTTTGTGGGCATTCAGCAGCTTTGGAGAAACAGACTTAAGGGTTGTTACGAGAGAAATAAATCTTTAAATACTTAAAAAAACAAACAGACAACTCTGTAATAGCACTTCAGTTGAAACACTCAAAGGCCAAGTAGTTTCAAAGGAGGAAAGAAAAGATGCGCCTAAAATACACAAAGGAAAATGAAACACAATGGTGAAGGCTACAGCAATCTCTCCCTCAAATCGCAGGGAACGCACTGGAATTCTCTGCTGGTCGAAGACCTTCTCGACTTTTTCCCTACGATTTTAAAGTGAATTTAGTGCTGTTGAAAGGTGCAGAAGCAGCAGTTTGCATGGAGGGCTGTGTAAGATTTTAGCTTCGCCCCGACCTGAAAGGATGAACAGTTTCCATGTCTAAGAGGGCAGTGCAATTTCTTGATCAGTTCAGTGATCTTGACTACTGAGATAGCAACAGAGTGCCAGGCTGTGACTGGGATTTATCTGCTCTGAAATGGGTAAATAGTGTCCCCAGGGGCAGTAGTTGAAAAATCACAGTGCGCAGACTCCTTTTCTGGAAATTAGCAAAGTAGAACATCTTGAGATTGAGGCGGTAGGAAAAGATGGTGGACAAAGGAGGAGAGAATGGTCTGCTCCTGTAACCTGCACTACAAAACCACTCAAGAGCCATCACACTGGGACCACACAGGGGAACTCCAGCTTGCTTGATCTGCAACTTATCCCTGTTATTACCCAGAAATGGATGCCAATGAGACAGATCCTGCTCTCTTTAGTCCTAAATCCAATCCAACCGTGCCCTCTGAATTACAGGTATATATGACTGGCCATTTGTACCACAGGTCTTCAAACAGAGAAACAGCAGCCAGACAGGAAAGGTGGGTCTGCATATGCACAAGAACAAAGTGCTTCACCTCTTAAGTGCTCATCAAGCCCCTTGGGTTTGGGAAGGAGAGAAATGCCACCACGGTCCCAGGGGAGGAGAAGAGTCATCCAACTGTGTTTATTCACCTCTGCATAGCTTAAGATGAAACACTGCTGGCAATCATACAGCCATGTGGAACGGTACAATGGCAAAGGGAAAACAAAAGCAAGAGAATGACTTCAGTTACAGAGGATACCACACCAATTAACTAATGCACGATATGGAGGGAAATCATCTTTAATTAAGCTGAAAAACAGCAAAACAATCTGTCGGTTTTGTTATTTGAAGTGACTGGGAAAACGTGTGAGACAACACAAACGTGAAGGGAGAACGGTGTGGACATCCACGTGCTGCAGGATCCAACATCCCAACGCTGACCTCACATGGACATTACTTAAACGACAGGAGGTTCGTATCTGCTAAAACCACTGGCGCAGGATGTAAAATTTAAACAGGAAAATCGAGGCTTGCATCTATCAGGCTATCTGTTGTGGTGTCAAACAGGTTACCTGAAGGAAGGAAGGGTTTGAAGCCATTAGCTTAAAAGTAAAAGCACGTTTAAGAAATCAGTTCAGTCGTTCATTTAGAAGCAAAGCAAAAGATAGAAATGACATATATGAATTCTGATCTCAATTTCATACAATGCCTGCAGGGATGGGGCATCCACAGCCTCCTTGGGCAACCTGTTCCAGTGTGTCACCACCCTCTGTGTGAAAAACTTTCTCCTGATATCTAACCCAAACCTCCCTGTCTCAGCTTAAGACCAGTTTGGACCCTTGTCCTATCACTCTCCACCCTCATAAACAGCATCTGTTTATTTCCCCCTCCTGTTTATGTGCTCCCTTCAAGAACTGGAAGGCCACAATGGGGTCTCCCCAAAGCCTTCTCTTCTCCAAGCTAAACAAGCCCAGTTCCCTCAGCCTTTGCTCACAGGAGAGGTGTTCCAGCCCTCTGATCATCTTAGTGCCCTCCTCTGGACCTGCTCCAAGAGCTCCACGTCCTTCCTGTGCTGGGGGCCCCAGGCCTGGATGCAGTACTGCAGGTGGGGCCTCACAAGAGCTGAGTAGAGGGGGACAATCACCCATCAGAATGAACAGACAGCGACTGCTTCATTCCTCCCAGAGTAGAACCAACCACCTAAAGAAAGCAAACTGAATGGATTTCCTTTCATACTGAGCAACGTTTCTCCACTGAAAATAAAGCACACCCCACTTGAGATGTGAAGTGCTACATTAGGCCACGACGCAAACTGCACTGCAATGTTTCCCACTTTGAAGTTACGTTTCTGAAGGAGTGAAAAAAGCACCACATGAATTTTAAACCCGGAGTGCATATTTTTGGATGTTCTTTGGGAAAAAAATGAGGAAAAGAAATTCCCGCACCACGGCAGTCTAAATGCATATGGCAGAATGAAAAAAAGCAGGTGTGCTCTATGATTATAACCCATCTTTTTGATACCACTTTAAGAATGTGTTTTTCTTTCTAAACAGAACAATGAAAGATGGACAGAAGAATTACAACTACAGTGCTGAGAACACAGGGCAAACAGGAGACAGACATCAATCAGTGTAAGAGGCAAATACGACCCAATGAAAAAGGAAAGACTCATACAATCATGCATTGAAAGGATAAAGATTTATATTACAATAAAGGATTTATATTTAAGGTTTCAAAAAGGTGGGTTTTTTTTTTTTTTTTTTGAAGCTTGGTTTTCTTGATATTGTATTTCGAGAGAAAAGGAGACAACCTACATAGAATTGGATTGCTGCTATTTTCTTATCATTGGTTTCTTTACCAAGAGATTGTTATCATCTTTTCACAAAGCTGTATCACCTCTGGACCTGAGGATTGGGATGTTACTGTCTCTGATTCTTTTAGGGATATAAAAAATATTTCTCATCTTGAAATTAACCCCAATGTGGAGAATCCATCCAAAACCTTCGGCACAGCTGCAGCCCAGAACACCGGTGTAAGGAGGGCTCGTGGTCTTGGGTGCATATCTATTCCAAATGTGATTTTCAAGATGAGAGTTGATGAAAAGGGTGCTACAGCCACCTTAAATTGGTTCCCATATGCAGAACTCATGGTTATGCCTTTTTTTTAAACATGAAATCCAGATGCTCAATGTAAATCACAGGCCAAAATAAGATCAGCTTTGTTTTTGCAATGCCAGCTGATACGGACAGATTCTAAAAGCTGCCATGTCTTCAGCCTGATAAAGAGATATCTCACAGCTTTCAGGTTCCCACATCACTCAGAAACTGACCAGTCTTCCAGTTCCACACAGCGATTAGCCTGGGAGCTGTCTGATCCATCTCAGCTCAGGTTTGGACACAGACTTCAGCTTAAGCAACAGCTGTGTCAGTACGTGCAAAAGCTGGAGCTGTGGGAAACCTGAGCTTTCATAAGGTTTGCTAGAGACAAATTCTTCTGGTATTTTCTTGAGATTCATCTGTTATTCCGCCAAAGTTCCTAGCAAGTTTCCCTGCCATAGTTCTTCCAATTCTCTTTAAACACCCTTCAATCATCAGCCTTCAAAGCAAAGGCACTCTTAGCATCTCCAGTGATTTTAAAAGGGGAGCATGATTCCTGTTCTGAAGTGCTAAAATATAATTGGGCACAAACACCTTCCCCAGTTTTGTGAGAATGTACCAGCTATGTTTTTACAAGGATTTCAAGTTCCAAAGGACAGTTTTGCAAACAAAACACTCCTCCCCTCCCCAAAGCTCACAACTTTGCTACCTGTGGGCCCAGAGGGAGCACATTCAAACCTGGCTATAGGCACCTGGATAAATTAACTGCACTCAGAGCATAGTTCTCCCTGTGCCAAAGAGTCACTTACTTCCAAATACAAACTTAGCTCATCTGAACTACCTCCTTACCCTACCAACTATGAAGAGAGATGAGAGCAAGCAGACTTTCAACTCAAAGTGCCAGCCATAGGCTGTGATCTGCAAATGTGCAGGTTGAAGAATTGTAACTCCAATAGTCCATGTGTACCCAGACCCCTTTATAATGTCGCTGGGCAGCACTGACTGAGCAAAAAAGACAGATGAAAGACAGCCTAGTTCCTCTTTTTCTGCACAAGCAGTTCCCATTGATTCAGTTCACACTGGGTGCTTTCACTTCACAAGTTTGTCCAGCTCTTGAAAGCCAAGGGGACAGACTCTTTAGCTGGGTCTGCTGCATAGGATAAGGGGAAATGGATTCAAACTAAAAGAGGAGAAATTTAGATTGAGCATTATGAAATAGTTTCTTCCAGTAAGGGTGGTGAGGCACTGAAACAGGTTGCCCAGAGAGGTGTTGGATGTCCTGTCCCTGGAGAAACTCAAGGTCAGGCTGGACAGGGCTCTGAGCAACCTGATCTAGCTGTAGGTGTCCCTGTTCACTGCAGGGAAGTTGGGCTAAATGACCTTTAAAGCTTCCTTCCAACTCACACAATTCTACGATTCAAGGCCACCTGATGTCCGTCACAAGCAGCTCCAACACCCCACCATTTCTCCCAGTCCATCCTTGTGCAAGACTCTATGCAATCTGATTGAGTCTGCTTTCACCACACCACGTTAACCACTGCTTGTTCCTGATTTTTCTCAAAATAGCTTCTGGAGATGTCAGCTATCAGAGCAGCCACTGCACAAACACACAAACTCTTCCCCAAAGAGTTTTCAAGCCAAACAGAGAAGACAGCTTGAATACCTCACATTAACGGTCTCTTTTAATGCCCTGCCAGTAGCATCCTTTATAAAACCAGCTGTACTAAGACAGGGAAAGACCTCTGTAAAAGTTGCTTTTCACCTCTTATGCGACACTCCTAGATAGAAAGCATCTGTATTTTGGCTCTCCATTGTAATTATTGTCATTAGGCTGTCTGCATATCACTTTAAATCACTTGCTTCCAAGAACAGTATTGTATTACATCGATATGTACTATAAAGAGACACTTGCACACATATAATAATGGGTGTGAGTCAAATGCCTGGCGTGCAGCCTGTGAGCATCACCTCCCCCACCAAAGCAAATCGTAGCGTGGTTTATTTAGGCATGCTTCCACAGATAGTATGGAGACATATGCATGCAGAGGGACCCTGCAGCTCAAGAACTGTGCGTGCACACATGCTCACAGGTGTATGAGCAATCAGACTGATAGCAGAGTGGAAAGAGAGCCATCTTCTCTGCCCCAACCATCTCATCATGCCCATTCCATCGATAACGTCAGATGCAAGCAGTAGCTACAGAAGCTGCCTCCAAAGAAAAGCACAGCAATCCGATAATTCTGCTCCTTAACACGATTACAACAGCAATGAAAAGATAACACCACGTAGCATTAGCCAGCTTTATTAGGGTGCTCTTTCAATGGAATTGCTTCCCTCCCTGATAAAAGAAACAAACAGGATGTCACTTGGAAGAGATCTTCCAAACTAGAGCTTCCTGTGTCTATTATCACAATAGTACCCTGAAATATTCAGTGGCTGGCCAAGAAAGCAGCACGGCGGCTCACAGCGAGCGTGTGCTCCCAGCCCCCACTGGGTCTCTGCCAGCACAAGACTATAGCTGCTTGTCCTCACCGCTGCTTCGCTGGTCTTATTCCTTAGTAACTGCACGTGCTCTGACAGCAGGATTTCAAGCGGCCGCGCTGGGCGGCTGGCAGCTGCTGCTCTGGCCCCAGCGTGCAGCAGTGGTGGATGAAAGCTCCTTCTCCAGCCCTTATGTAAGAGAGATTAGGAAGCGATCCTGCTGAGGCAGATGCTGCACTGCTGCTCTCCCAACCACCCTGAGCCTCCAGGTCCTACGTCCTGCGCCCAGCAGCCCAATGCCAGTCACGTTCTGGTCGTCACACAAATGGCACAGCTGATCTCCAGCCACCCTTTGTTGTTACACCTTCGGAATCTGATTATAATGAACTGCAATCCTTGACCCTATTCATCTGCTAAAAGTCTCGCAGCATCTGTAGCATCCCTCCCTTTTCCCTTGGCTTTGTCAGCATTAAGCTGCAACCTGGTGAAATGACAGGGAAACGATCATCTCCTTAAGACACTGCCTCCAATCAGCTGTGGGAGCTCGTCTCCTACCATCAGGGCACTTATTAATGAACTGACTCTTAATGAGAGAGTGGTTCAGATTTCACTCTCAGTGCAAAAATATTTACTCCCAAGGCCACTGCTTTTAATAACTGTCAGGCTTTGAGATGGTGTGAATGCTCTTCAAGAAGAAGTAAAACAACACTTACCCACCATAAAACTGTCTTCGCAATCCTTCTGTACACGTAAGATACTGCTAATACCATGCACAACTGAATGGAAGCTTCAACAGAAATCACTGTGTCTGTCCCTACCAATAACACTGTTAGGAATTCAAAAAACTCCCAGAAATATTGGTGAGCAAAGTCCCTGTTTAGAATACACACAGTAACTTACCAGCCTTATTAGCTTAGCTGCTATCACGAACCTTGAGGTTTTATGAACGTGAAATAGAGGGGGAAATTGTAAGATTCTGGTGCATTTGTTTTTTAATGCAGAGCATTGAAAAGTCAGATAGCTGGGTCCTCTGTACAATTACCCGACGGTATACGGCATGCCAGGATTACTGAAAAATGCTGCTGTGCAATAAACAAATACACACATTGGAAGCTGATAAAAATTTTAATGCATTTTACCTGTTTGTAGTAAAGAAATGTCCGGCTTCTCATCATAGTCAGTTGGCTCTGCTGATTACAAATATAAACAAGAAATCTCATTACTTTTACTGAATACAGGCATGCGATTAAAAAGCTACATCGTGTAGAGTGATTTTGCATTTTCTATCTACTTTCCTCAGCTTCAATTTGCTATTGCTCAGTTAAAAACTCACTGCTCGGAGAAAAAGGTCATAAAATAAAAATGCAAACTTAGAAGAGGGAGTTTGGTATTAATAAACGGCTGTGCCAGAAACAGGCTGGAGTGACACTGGCTCATTTTAGGGTTTCAAGACACGAGGGGAATTGCAACCATTTCATAAAATCACAGAAGAGAAGTTTGTTTGTTAAGCTAGCCCCAGCAGCCCTTGGAAGAGGAACCCCCAAGGCTGATGCTCGATCCTCCTGCAGCTGCCATCATCAGATTCCTAAGGGAAAAGTGTGAATATTCTCATTTCTGCAGCCAAACTTCCTGTGACTGCAGGCAAGCTTGTTTTGGGAGGAACAGATGTGCCAGGGCAGAATGACTTGGAAGTGGGCACCCAGCATGCTTACACAAACATGTAGCCATGCAGGTACACAATCAATTACAATGTAGATACACACACACGCTTTTAATCCATAGCTTATGCAAAATTTGACTTAATTTAGCCCACAGAAAAGAAGGCTGAAAGCTTAATTTGTAAAGCTTAATTTGTTCATCTCATATTTGTCACCAACCAAAGGTATGCATAGATAGTTCAAATGGCTCAGCAGATGTGCAGCAACTTGTTAGACCGCCGTATTCTAGTGTGTGTGTTTGAACCTAGAGTACATTACAGGCACCCACCAGGAATTAGGAGTCAAATGTACACAAGTCCTATTCAAAATCCTACTACCTTTGTCTTTTGACAACTCAGCATATTTTAGGCCTTTAGAACGCAATCAGATCTTCAAGAGCACTTCAGCAAACTAGCTATAGTCATAGAGAAGAAGTCCTTGACATTGCACGTGATCACTGCGGTGGATATACATCTTATCACATCCATTCACTGCACATTATTCATTGACATCAAGTTTCAACCGAGGCTATAGATGCACTGAGCAACTTCATTTAGCTTCCACTTGAAACTAAGCTAACTGTCCTGGACTGTTTATTATAGCTACACAAAAAGATATCAAGTTGTTGCTGTTACGAGGATATCATAAGACAAACTCATCTAGCTGCTGAGCTACATTAGAGTTCCCTTCCTTCTGCTACCCCTTGCTACCCTTTCTCACTTGCTGGATGCCAGTTTAGTTTTTAGTTATTTGCTCTTTACTCGGTTCCACAAAATAAGTTGCATTAAAGAATCACAGCACCATCTGGGTTGGAAAAGACCTTCAGCACCAACATGACCCCCCAGATCTCAACACTAAACCACGTCCCTCACTGCCACATCTATGTGTCTCTTAAATACACCCAGGGATGGGGACTTCATTATGTCTCTGGGCAGCTTAGTCCAATTCTTAGCCAAACTCTCAGTGAATAAATTCTTCTTAATATCCAGCAGCACCTTGACACCATTTCCTCATGTCCTATCAATCGCCCCCTTAGAAAAGAGATCAACAGCCTCCTCACTACAACCTTGCAGACAGTTGTAGAGAGAGGAAACAGACAAGAAACCCCTAGTACTAAACAGCTTTCATCCCTGGAAGGTTTAAGTGGAGAGCCTTGACAAGTACATGACATGGACGTGCAAGTTACCCTGATTCTGCCTTGAACCTTTTTCTGCTTCCTATGAGAAGGTGGTACACTGAACAGAAAGAAATTAAGTGCCTGGATGTATTAAAATCATTAATTTTGGAAAGAACATGGAGCTGAGTGAATGAGAAAAGAATCACAGAATCATTAAGGTTGGAAAAGATCACTAAGATCATTTAGTCCAACCATCAACCCATCATCACCAACATGCCCACTAAATCATGTCCTTCAGTGCCACATCTAAGAGATTACACGATTCTCTGTCTCTGCATTCGTATGCATTGGACTAACAGTGATGGATGAGCAAGTGTGGTGCAGTGAGCAGCTGAGAAAAACAGACAGGATATATCCTACTGCAGTGGCATTCTGAGCCCAACTTCTTGCTGTGCTATGAAGAAGCACCTGCACCAAGCAGTTCTGCAGCACGGTTATTCAGCATACAAGAGATGAAAAACAGTAAATGGCCCCGTGGGACTCAAGCTATGAAAATGGAGGAAGCAAGAGGTGAGCATTGGGAATGGTCTGAAAATCTTCCATCTATCCATATCAGAGTCTGTGCCAAATACACTGTGCACTAAAATGGTAGAATTTACTGGAAGTCTCAGCAGAAACTCTTGCAGATGTGGCTATCCCTCTACTTCATTGCCCTTCTCACACCTGGCTGAACTTGAAGGAGAATGAAGTAACACAGTAACAAGTGGAGGCCAGGAAGTCCCTGCCTTTCAGAAGGTAAGGACTTGAGTCTCCAAATTTGCAGAACCAACAGTGATGATGACAAAAGCAATTACCTGTCCATTTTAATCTGGCACAATACCACAGTACTGATGGCACTAAAGAGGAGATAAAGCTCGTCACCAATTGTTCCAGGCTCGTTCCTCATGCCAGCACAAACATTCATACAGTCACAGAGGTCAGAACTAGTTAAAAACTGACAGTACAGTTGAATGAATGCTTTTTCCAGTGCCAAAAAGGGAGTGGAAACAAGACAGAAACACTGAGAACCTACTTACTCTTCTCAGTAGCTGTGTGCATTTGTTTTATGAAACTGGATACGTAACCACAGCTTCAAGCAAAGTATGATCAGTAAAGCTCCTGCTCACAAACGCATGACAAACACCCTGACCTCCTAACATGGATGTAAACCAGCATCTTCTCACATTGGATTCCAAGCAGGAAAGGTTTGCCTTCAACAACCACACCCTGAGACTGCCAGCCAAAATTCAAGTGTCTTGAGTCAGCTTGCAAAACGAGGCAAACAGGAATAGACCCTGCTGAGGTAATTCTGAGACTCCTTTCTGTCCTCTGGCTGCATGGCTAGGGCTCAGTAGCTCTTGCAAAACAATCACAGTAGTCATTTCCTTAGAGGTCTTTTCTTCCCCAAAATTGTTTAGATGTACATGTTCATTAATTGTACACTTGCTGTTTTGCTCCTTGTACTGAAGTACATGCATGCCTAGGGCTGGAAAGATTATCAGTGCAGTCATTTATTTTGATATTGCTACCTTTACTCAGATACTGGCCACAAAAGCACTGTACCACATCTTGGACTCGCATCTTACATCCTTCCTGGTGATGCGTGTATTGCTAAGCAAAAAATCAACGCCATCTCCCACAACACAGAGATGTTACATCAAAACCACAGACCAGGGAAATCAGAAGGATGAAGAGAAATAGATAGCAAACAAAACAAAACAAAAAATCCTCATACAAGGCAATGGAAGCAGCAATTTGAACAAGGACTGGGGAGAAAAGACACACTTCTTGAGTGTAAGCATTTTTTTCTCCCTTTGTTCCTACTATTTTACATTGCAACAAGGTAACGTTGATTTTAAACAATTCAAGGATGAAATGTCATGGAATGCAATTTATTTAAATTAATTCTGCCTGAAAAGTTTCAGCATGTTTTCCAACAGTGCTGTGTTTTCCTTTATTGGCTATGGCAATCAAAAGCTTCCAGGTTAAGCACAATGTAATCACTTTGCATGAACAGCTCTCACCCTCAGTTTCAGGAGCGTTAGTCATACAACGTCAGCTTTCCTGGCTATGCAATGGACAGACATTACAGCATAATGGCTTACACTCTTCAGAACTTAAAAAGGGAGGAAGATCTGACTGTAAGAGATGTGCTGCCCCTGACCTACTGCTTATTAATGGATGAAGAGTTTAGTAATCAAAAGGCTTGGATACTATGTCTGGCACGGAGCGACATGAACAGCAAGTCAGTTCCCTCTTATTTTGCCCTCAGATCATTATGCTAATGGCCGTCTGTCTCTGCACTGACACTGGCAAGGCCACCAGTCCCCTACCCCAATTCTCTCTGTAGGTGGAAAGACCACACAATGGGAAACACAATGTGTAAATTACAAGGCAATTTGCACAGTCATTCACACCGCTTTCAAAGAGGAAATATTACACACGTGGCTCCCTTTGACTTCTTCCCTTCCAGGCCACTTTGCATCTGATCCCAGAAGCCAAGCAGGCTCAGGTTCTGTGCTGGGAGGAGACAGATCTGGCACTATGAAGCTGTGCCTCAGTAGGCTGTGCTGTTGGCATGATATGGGCCCAACAGTCAGGGCTGAAGAATATTATCATACTATTTAATTTTAATTATAACATCTGTTTGTAACATTAACCTCACAGTCTCTTCTCCCCTCTGTGACAGCCAACTTGTGAAATTTTGAACAGACTGAACAAGGCCAATAAAAATTTAATGGCAGTGACAGCTTTATTCTCAGATCTAACAAATAAAAAAAAAAAAACAACCTACCCAAGTCTCAGATCTCAGGCAATAATCTAAAAGAACTGAGAAAAAGCCAAAGCAAAATAAATAAATTAAAAAATAGTATTTCCAGCCATGAATACTGTCACTGATTTAGAACTTAAATGAATTTTTATTTGCCTTAAGATAACAACCTTTCAGAATTTACACTGGGGAACTATTTTCTAGAAAGCACAATTTTTAAGTGTTTTTTTTTTATTATTAGCTTTCCAAGTGGAGAGCTTTTCTGTACCTAATTCCAGGAGATGAGCAAAACATGATAAATAAGGTTGAAGCTGGACAGCATCTATCATCCAGTGATCATGATTTCATTTAATTTGGGAATACTCAAGAGAATATACCCCAGAGAAAGAGGTACAAAAAGCAGATCCAACACACTCGTCACTAGAATTCTTTGAAATTATTAATATCACTGAAAGCTAGAGCAGGATTTACGTTATCAGACTGAAATAATGTTTCACAGGATAAAGCAGAGAGGGCTATTCATGAATGCAGTGTCTTACTATGTGGTTTGAAATGAAAAACTAATCAGAGGATGGACTAAATGGCTCAGGGGAAGGCAAACAGAATGGAAAACCTGCCTCTCATCTCTTCTGCTGCTCAAATTTAGCACAACTCAGTGGTGACTAAAAAGTTGTTTTGTGGATTCTGGGAAATAAATAGACAAAATTGAACTTTTCCAAGTAAAGCTTGTGCATCAGAACAAACTAGAAACAGATTTTGAGTTGGCTTAGAAAGTCTCAGGTTAACGCTGGCTCAGAATTGTTCTTCAGGCACCTTAGCCCACAACAAATTTAGATGGCAGGTTTCAGTAAGTGCAGGCAGAACACAGAGGATGATTTGGGAGTAGGACACTTGCTTGGCCTCTGGTGTCAGCTTCTATCTCACTCTCTTGTAGGACTGAAGTTCCTACTTCACCCCTCAGTATTTCCCAACACTTTATTTATGGGTCTGGCCCTCAGTGATTGCTCTCCATATGGATTTCCAGGGGACTACAAGTATTCAGCTCAGTGGCTGTGACTCCACTAGTTTTCAGGTTCTCAAAAGCAACATTTTGCAACATGGAGCCAGAGAACATCATCTCCCCTCAGCAGATCAAACCTCTCTCCATCCCTGCCCTCCTCTTGCATCTTGGCTGCTGTAAGTTACATACAGCTTTCACAGTTTCAGAAAGCCTTCACAATTAACAGTTAAAATTTGCAGTTTGCAGACCAAATAGACAGGTTTACCCTTGTAGACCCACCTATGCACCTGCTAATTGCCATTGCTGGAAACAAAACACGGGACTGGACAGATCTGTTGTCTGATCAGATCTACATCTCTCATATCAGAAGCTCATGATTACAATGCACAAGTACTAAAAAAATTTGTTTCAACAAGATGAAAATGTTATTGCAACCCGTTTGCTCCTCTTTGCTGCTACCTACTGCTTTTCCGCCACAAAGGCCAGCAAAGCAAATGTGAACACTTCTCATTTGCTTCAGTGCAAGGTCAGGTTGGGTTAATCTGAGCCATCACTGGAACAGTGTGGATGAGCTTGCACTGGAAGCAGAATGCAGAGTGCTGGCATGATCAGCTCTGGCAGCTCCGTCACAAAAGGGGGAACCTCTAAGCAGTGGACAGGAACAACAGCAGCACATTCAATCACTCCTGCTAGATAAAAAAGAACACGTCTGCCTGTGTCCAAATGGCAGAAAGAAAACAGGGAACAATCAATACACTAAACATCAGAAAAAAATAGAGCTTTTCTAGCAATCCAGTTAGCATGCACTTCTTTTAGTAAATAAGGTATGTTTCTGCTAGGTACATTTCTGTTTACTTCTCATTCCCATAATGGTTGTGTTAGCTTCCCTCTGCAGGGATTGGAACTTATCTAATTCAGTTTCACCAAACTCAGCTTCATTTATTTTTCTTTACAGTCTTGCTAACTTGGAGACAATATCCTCTACTTAGATGCTTCCATCCCAGGAAAGGACCAGAGATGAAAGCGCCATTTAAAAGGTAAAAGCAGAACACCACTGTCATTTTAATTAATATCCTGCAGAGGCATCAAAAAGTCCTTAAAAAAAAGATGAAAAGAAAATAAAAATCTAAACAAAATTAGGTCAATCTTCTTTCCTGAGGGTCTTCTGCAGACAACCCAAAGGCCCTCTATTTCCCACATCCCACACTGTGCTCTTCACCTACAGAGCCTAATACTGGGCTCCTGTCCTGCCCAGCCAGCCTTCGAAAGGGGCAGAAAGCAGTCATGTTGTACAGTATCAGTAATCTGACACTATCGTTAACAAGATTATCTTGTATCCCTCTCTCTTCCCTCTCCCAACATGCACAAGAAACCCTTATTAAAGCTAGTGATGGTTTGCTGTTCTACTCAGGGAAGCTTATGCTACTGAATAATCTGCATTTTGCTCCCAGTCCTGTGTCAATTCTGAAAATGCTGACTGACACATACATGGAGCAGGAGAGAAACACTCTTCTGTTTTCCTGTGGTCTGACTCACCATCCCTGTCTTAGCCACTTGGTTTTCCATTCCTTAAGCTCACAGATGCTAACAGGTGTCAGATGCTCCAAGGGAGAGATGGGCAGGAAATATGACCACAGGAGAGCCTTAAGAAACACTAGAAGGGTGAAGTGATCTACTGCCTGATTCAGTAGTTAGCAAACCTGCCCATGGCACAGGGATTGGAACTAGATGGTCTCTGAGTTCCCCTTCAACCCAAGCCATTCTATGATTCTATGAAAAGTAAGCGAAGCCCCTTGTAGGACAGGCGGCACGAAGATGAGAATGAGGCTAGTTAAGCTTTACGAAGCAATTACACATCTCTTAATCAGTGCTATTGCTTTCAGGTTCCTATGAATTCCACAAGGGATTTGGAGACTGCACACTGCTGTCTGTCAGCTCAACTGAGAGCTCATGGGCCAAGTGCTGGAACTGCATCACTGCTGGGCCAGTCCCACAATCAAGCACGTATGCTGTCCTACAGAGCTAAGTAACTGCTGCAAATCCCTACTGAAATTACTTGTTAGTCACCACAGGCAAGCTCACTCGTGTGCTTTGGTAGGTCCTCATAAGCACAATCAGTGTGGGTCATTCTTTTTTTTTTTTGCTACAGTCACGTCCATTCTTTCACAAGGAATGTGACCTTCCAGACACACACAGTTTGGAAGGAAAGGTAATTTAGGTTATGTCCTAACAGTACAGAAGTGGCTTGTCAGGCCAAGTAACACAGAACTTAAAACCTTCCACCTGCAACCTGGCTGGATGAGATAGTTTATAACTCAGATTCCATAGAACACTAGGAAGAATGCTCTTAACTTTTAGGTTGCCCTGAGAATCAGGCATTGAACTCGATGACCTTCATGGGTCCCTTCCATTGCAGGATATTCTGAGATTCTAAGAAGTTACAGTTGCTAATGGAAGGAGGTTGGAGACAACATTTGAGGAAGACTCTAAGCTAACTTGGTTGCAAAAACAGCTCAACTCGTTACCCTGTACTTGACAGAGAAACCTGCTAAACCTGAGAGATCAAATTTTCATAGAGTGAACATATACAACAGTCACATTTAACAAGAAAGACAATTCTGTGGACAGAAAGGCTGTACGATTTTAATTTTACTCCCATATGTTTTTCCTAATATTTTTATACATACCTGAGCCTCTTTTTAATCGCCTTCTTGCCAGTTTAATTTGATCCTGAAGAATTTGGACCCAGTCCCTAGGACCAGGAAGTTTATCCACATGGTTGGCAGTGCAGTATCTTTCTGTGAAGACTGAAATAAAAAGATACCATCTTTTTTAAAAGTGCCACCACAATTGAAATAAAGGAGGCTGAAGAGGATTACAAAGAAAATGTACCAAAGCATCAACTGCACAAAATTGAATTGCCAAATCTGGTCAAACTCAGTGTTTCATGATTTTATCATTCAGAAGTCATTTGTCTATATAACTATCATAGCTATTACTTACAAAAGCCTATCCTAAAGAAACAGTTTATACCATCCATGTGACATCCATGAATTTCACACTAGAATATCACCAAAAAATAACACCATACTTTGAACTGAGTCTCCAGATGTGGTAGGCACTTCTAACTGCTGCTTTCCATATGGTGTAAGAAGAGAACTGAACATCTGGTCACCTGCTGGGCTCTTGGACTCATTTCTAAGTCTACAAGCAAACTGATGGAAGACACAGTTCCCACTATGGCAGAAATCCCTGCAGTTGTTGCTCTCAGACCACCAAATTAGATGGAATAGTATTCTTATAAAGCCACTAAAAGAAAGACTTCCTTGTGAAAAATACTGTTCATCGTACAACTGAGAGGTGTGCGAAAAGGGCAAAAATACAAAAAATATTATTACTGCTAATATTGCTATTGTAGGCTTGGTCATGGTTCTCAGAACCAACTGTCTATTATGACCACCAGATAAAGAAAACTGGTTCCAGATGAAGGAATTTGTAATCCTTGGGAATAAATGTTGCACAAATGGGACGAGGGAATATGTAGCAAAAGTTGACCATTTGGTATTTTTGTACACAGAGTTTTGACACAGTGCTGGCTGGTAATTCCAAAGGAGTCCAAAGCAATTGCACTCTCCAAATTCTTTTCACATTCACAATTTGACAAAATCACTGCATGAAAAGCATTAACAATACTTTTCTCTGTAGTCTGTTCAGCAAAGATGAACAATCACTCAAGGAGCTCAGAGAAGTCAGCACAGTCTCACATGGTGCCAGCATTCAATCTTAGAGGCTCTTTGAAGGCAGAAATCATCTTTCCCTTCTGAATCCATGTGGTCCTTAACACAATGGGAGCCTGACTGATGTCCTAAGTCTTGCACTTCAAACATGTGACTGCAGATTGAGTTGGTGACCATGGCCTGGGGGTCATCCTGTGACAACAGGCTGTAGCCAGGTTGTCTATTGCAAGTTCCTAAGGTGGAATTACGACCTTGCTTGCTGTGGTCTGCATGGGAAACTAAATCATGGCAGCCTTGGAGAGCCTGTACATTGCCTTGCTAGTTCTTCTCTTCAATGAAATTCAGAATAGCTTAGGTTGCTCGATGCTTGGTTATGAAAGCACTAGGACTGAAAAAAAAATAAGTGGGAATGTAGTAGGAAGAAGGCAGAAGAGGGAGCTCATCATTCCAGTTCATCTGAGCTGTACTGTGGTAACCACCCGTGCCATAAATCAGATCAAATCCCCAGCAGATCTGAAGACAGCTCATTGACTTCTGCAGGAACGGACCTTCATGCAGGGCTGGATTTTTTGCCAAGAACATAATGAAAAAACAACTACCTCTGATCTTTGTTCTCTCTCTCCCCACTCCTCTGAGTTGTAGGTGAAAATTGATGCAGCTCACAAGAGAAACTGATTGTTCAGGAGAAATGCTGCAAGTGATTCAACAAGTGCCACTGAATATCCAAAGTCAGACAGAAGAATTTCTCACTGGCTAATCATTCTGTTGCAGCAGTATTAAACTGCTCATAAAGATGGTAGTTAAAATGCTTCCAGACAAGGAGAATTTTCAACCCAGCAGTCTCTCCTTAGAGTTCTCTGCTCATGTCTGTCATGAATACAGCCTTGTCTCCGCTTTTGTATCTCTGACATGGGGAAGGACTGAAGTGCCACTAAAGGATATCTTGAACACGTGGCAGAGGAATGTCCTAACGAAATAATGCAAACAACATGTTGTTGTCCTCATGGAGATTTCATACTGACTCAGTCATTTCTTGGAACAAATGAAACCACAGTGTCCGACAGCCCAAGGAAAAAGGGTGCTGCTGGAGCCAGGCTGAGTAAAGATCCACAGTACATCAGCCCTTAGCATTGTATTCCATCACAGCTTCTAGGAACAGGCTCCCCTAACACAGATCATGAACTAGAGTTTGGGCAATACTTTAAGTAGCAGTGAAGATTATTATTACAGTGGTGTCCAGCAGTACCACCACAATTTTTATCTGTGAAACTACAACTCCTTCCTTTCTTCCCCACTGTCACTAAGAGAAGAGGCTGAACCAGACTTCAGAATTTGCTCTGGTAATACAAACTTAGCTACTGAGAAACACTGTTCTCCATAGTGGGTGGTGACTGCTCTTTTAATAGTGCTACTGCATTCACTGAAAAGCAATTTTTTACTACAGTGCTGGTCCAAGTAGTGGATTTTTTTTAATAATTTTGATTCATTTCTCTTCCATTTAAAGCTTTTTGGGAAGACCAAGATACAGATGAAGTGAATTCAACTTCAGATCTTCACAGAGGATTGAGCTCAAGGAAAAAAAAAGGTAGTATATTAAGACTATGACACAGACACCTTACTAAAGAATCACACGAGTTAAAAGGGACCTCTGGAGGTCTCCATGTCCAACCTCCTACTGAAAGCACAGTCAACTAGATCATGATGCTCTGGACCATGTCCAATGAAATTCTGAATACCTTTGAGAACAGAGATCCTGCAGCCCCTCTGAGCTCCAGGTTCACTGTCTGATCACCCTCATGTTAAAAAAGCTTCCTGTATCAGGTTGAAATTCTCCATGCGTCCAACACTTCTTGCGCCTCTTCAATCTGGCTCCACCTTCTCCATGCCACTCCACTATGCAGTAATGGACAGCAATATGGTTTCTCCTGAGCACTCTCTTCTCCAGGCTGACTGACCCCAGTTCTCTCGTCCTTTTCTCGCAAGTCAATTCACACACTTATGTCATCACTTACCTACTTTGGTCCTGTAACAATCTTGGTGGCCATCCACTGGACTCACTCCTTACATGTCAGTGGTTTTCTTGCATGAGAGTGGAGGTGAAACTACACACACCATGCCTGCAAAAGGTTTCCCTTCCTCTTTTAGCTGCCAATGTGCTTACAGGAATTCTTCTCATTGCGTTATGTCACCTAGGTTACCTTGTCCTGTACCTCAGGACAAGTCAGGGGCCCGACAATAATCATAGAATCATAGAATGGTTTGGGTTGGACCCTTAAGATCATCTATTTCTAAACCACAAGGACCACCTCCCACAAGACCATGCGGTTCAAAAGCCCATCCACCCTGGCCTTGAATGCTTACAGGGATGGGGCGTCCATAACCTATCTGGGCAGCCTGTTCCAATGTCTCACCACCCTCACAGTAAAGAATTTCTTTCTAATATCTAGTCTAAATCTACCCTCTTTCAGTTTAGAGCTATTTTCCCTCATTCTGTCTCTACATGCCCTTATAAAAAGTCCCTTCTCAGCTTTTCTGTAGTCCCCCTTCAGACACTGGAAGAAGGCAGCTATAAGGTCTTCCCAAAGCCTTCTCTTCTCCAGGCTGAAGGGCTCAAACTCTCTCAGCCTCATAGGGGTGCTGCTCCAGCTCTCTGATCATCTTCATGGCCCTCCTCTGGATCCATTCCAACAGCCTGATATCTTGTGTTGGGAGCTCTAGAACTGGAAGCAATACTCCAGATGTGATCTCACGAGAGCAGAATAGAGGGGCAGAATCACCTCCCTTGACCTCCTGGTCACACTTCTCTTGAAGCAACCCAGAATACAGCTGGCCTTCTGGGCTGCAAGCAGACATTGCTGGCTCCTGTTGAGTCTTTTATCAGTGGACACCCCCAGATCCTTCTGAGGGCTTCTCTCAGGCCATTTTCCGCCCAGCCTCTATTTGATCTTTGTCAGCCTGTATTCGTGCTTGGTCAGCTCTGCTTTGCAGTGCAGCCTGTCTTTTTATAACTTGCGTAGTTTTTCTGCTATATGAGATTTCAAAACTGCAGAATCCAATTCAGAATCTCCCATGTAATGCTAGCTAGCTCTTTATATGTTGTGATCACAGTGCTTGACGGTAGATGTGTTATTCTGGAACCTGGAAAGTAGTGATCACTAGCAAAAAAGATGCAACATAAGAAACACTCAACTAAGAAACTTATTTCCACAAAAGGTAAACCTTCACAGTTTTTATGAGCAACAAACTCATCTCCTGGTCCCAACATAATCTTCCACCACTTCTCCCCTATTCAGCCACCAACTACTGAACTATTTACAGAGCAGACACAGTCAGATATACAGCAAGCCTCAGAATTTTGATTAAAGAGGAACAGTTGTGATCTCATTATGTTTTCAAGATTTCTTTGTGCTTCTGATATCCAGAAAAAAAAAAAAAAAAAAAAACCAAACTTAAAAGAACATTGAGATTCTTTGGAACCTTGGAGCCTGACTTCAGAAACCAGAATCATTGGCTTAAACTTAACACAAGCTGTCCCTGTAGAATCTATTTTTAACAAGTGAACGAAAGAGAATAAAAATAAGACTGCATATTTTAATAGACCTAATGCACGTCAGAAATTCTAATCCCTTTACATCCTCCTCAGTTGAGAATATGTTCTAGTTACACGTATGAAAGAAAGTAAAAGCATACCTTTTATTGCACCCACAATATTTTGGTCTAGTCCTTTCCGGTTGTCATTGAGCCCTCTTTTCCTTTTGCCATTTGGTAAAGAGTTAGCCAAAGTCTGGTCATCAAAAAATGCACAAACCAGCTTCCTAAATAGCAGACTTCCTGAGCGAGTATAGTTTGATAATATAGAGTCCAGCTGAGATTTCGGCATGAAGACATCAAAGCCTTCTGCAAGTTGCACTTCTGGCTACCAAAAGAACACAAATGTTTTAATTAAAATGGCATTCAAACACATTATTTTACTTCAGTCATGCATCTGGTGAGATTTCTCAATCAGATAAATAATCAAACCATGAATCTTTTTCCAACTATTCAATACCACAGCAGCCTACTTCATTGAAATCAAACTCCATCAGTGAATAAGAACTTCAAAAGGCAAATCAAATAATCACACTTACGTCTAGCCACTGTAATAGTTAACAATCACTGACATTATTTCAAGGCATACAGCTAACAAAAAAGAAAAGAGATACCTTTCAATATTGATAATAATTACAAAGCAGATGATCATCCTAGAGCGACATTCCTACACAAAGCTTTTGAGCCATTTAGCTAATCATTTTTATGGACCTGTTTCCTTGGCAAACGATGCTGATTAGCATGCTGTGGGACAGCCAGGTACTTCCAGGAAGGACAACTGCAGGGCCAACAGCCCCATTCCATGCAGCTTCCCAAGAGGGCTCTCAGTGCAAATGCCATCTATACGAAATGAAGTAGAGGATGACTTGGAGGTTGTCTCTTCGCCAGTGCTTGCTGATCAGCTACTTTTCCCTTGGTTTCATATCCCCTAAATGCATCCTGAGAACAGGATGATGTTACGCACACGGCTTATTTCAGCACAGAAAATCTCAGTGGCAAATCACTTCCAGAAAGGGAGATGGAGGAGCAGAAGAGGGAAAAAATGATCTTGTATTTCATCAGACTTGTCTCAAGTACACTACGGGCCAAAGGCCTGCAAAGAAGTCCACTTTCTGAGTTTTTCTGTTGCCCCTGTCTGTACAAATCAGAAATTACATGAACAACATTTACAGCATTGTCTTCTTCCTATGTCCATCACCACAAAATGCTTACACAAGGCATCTGCATGGAATAATTATTTATACAGCTTGAAGATGCATCAAGAAAAGACTGTATTTAAGATAATATCTGGAAGTTGGAAAGGGGTAAAAACAACAAATCTGTGGTTGTGATATGAGAAAATAAAGTTACAGCCTCATTCCTAACAACTTGCTCTTCTTTTTTTTTTCCTGTATGAAAATACATTCACCAGTGATGGTGCATTTTTGAAAATGTTTACAGAGCAAGAGCAAATGCCAGCCTACATCAAATCACCTACAAATTTATTGAGTCTAGCTGGAGGAAAGGGCTGCCAACTGTAGAAGGATTTGGCTGCATAACTCTTTTTCCATGGATTTTTAAAATCAATACCAAGAGAGTTACAGCAAGAAATATCTTCAAAGCATACACTATCACTGACCATGCATGCTTACTGGGTGACAGGTACACAGAAAGTGAAGACCACGATGCTTCTGGAAGCCAGAATGAAGATTCGTGAAATATGCAGATAGTAATAAAAAAGTAATAAACCGAAAAACACATTTTCTTCAGTTTCTCCTGGATAAAAAGTAGTTTCTTTTTTTTTACCGTGAGAACTGTAAAAATGCTGGATCCAGCAAAACAGAGTTACTCTATTTGACATTTGACAAACTTCTGATGTAGGTGGGCTTTTAATATTTTACTTCTAAGTTTCTGGTGATAGCCAGATTTTCAAATGTAAATACATATGGGCCAGGTTTACTACTTGGGAAAAATTCCACCTCATGTTACTCAAAAACCAGAATGTAGCTGCCATGGTGTCAAAAGCATCCTACCCTATTTTGCTTCTTCGGTCTTAAGATAGTAATCTAAGATGACCTCAATGATACCAGCAGGCTAGACAAGTCATTCTCACTAACACAGCTGTAAAATGCAGTTGAAACCTCACCTGTGCATCAGCACGGAGAAGTCAATATTATTTTAGTTTTGAATTCCTCATATTAAATATTTTAATCAATTTCTATATTGGCTGAAGGAAAAATACTGATTTATACTTGCTCTCCTTTAGCTGAAAATTATTCTTCCATCAAAGACAATCAGTACCTAATTAAACTATATGATCAATTTAAATGTGATTTCTCAAAAGAAAAAGCATTTATTAACAGGTAATGATCCTGGCATAAGGAACTGGTGAGTAAACTACTCCTTTACAATAAAATAAATAAGACCTGAATGCCAAAGGCTTGTGCAGTGCTAAAATTAACAGGAAGTGAATTAATCCTAAACATTTCAATAGGCTCCCTGCTTAGATCAGAAATGATTAGATTATAAATGAAACATTACAACAGTAAAACAAACACATGAAGGTTTAACCAAAAGTAACAGATAATTGCATTAAAAAAGTGGGTTATCTGATCCAAGGTCCAGATTAAGAGTTGGTCTCACTGAGCTGAACAAAGGCTTCTTCCATGTTCATAAACAGCACTATTTCATCTTAGCAGATCTGAACTAATTGCAGTGGTTTTGGTTATGTAGCTCTAATTTTCTGTAAAAGAAACTGAGATCTTCAGCAGAGATGTCAACGGCGAGCTGGATCTGTCAGCAGTGTGCCCTGGAGCTAAAAAGGCCGACTGTACCCCGGGGTGCACCAGGCCCAGCACTGCCACTGGGTAAGGGAAGGGATTGTCCCACCCTGCTCTGTGCTGCGTGGCCTCACCTCCAGCACCGGGTGCTGTTTGGGTGCCACAGCACAAAAAGGACAGCAAACTGTTAGAGGGCTACAAAGATGGCGAAGGGTCCGGAGGATAAGACGTATCAGGAGCGGTTGAGGTCTCTTGGTTTGTTCAGCCCAAAGAAGAGGAGACAGAAGGGAAGTCTCATGGGGCAGCTCTGAGCTCTGCTTTCAGTGACAGGGCCTGAGGGAACGGCGTGGAGCTGTGGCTGGGGAGGGGCAGGGGGTGCTAGGGAAAGGTCTGCACCACAGGGCGGTGGGCACGGAACAGCCGGCCCAGGGCAGTGGGCACGGCACCGACTTGAGTTCAAGCAGCGTTTGGCCAACGCTCTCAGTCACAGGGTTTGGATTTGGGGTGGTCTGTGTGGAGCTAGGAGCTGGAACTCCATGATACTTCAAACTCACGATCCCTTCCAACTCAGATGGTTCTACGACCTTAAAGTTCAATGAACATGGGGAAAACTACAGTGGCAGCAGTACTGTGTATGACCCCACAACTCACTCAGTATTGTAAAGAGAACAATAAAATACAGTGCTATGCAAAACATCTTCCAGGTTCCTTAGGCACTCAGACATGCTGGTAGTGAGCACGCTAGAGATCCTTATGACTAAACAGAAAAAGATAATACTACCATTCATTCAGAAAGAAATGACTTTATTTAGCTTTCTCAAAATGTTTAAGGTCACATTTTATTTCCACTGTTAAATATATCTCTTTTCAGAACTCAACAGTTTTATTTCCAAAGGCAAAACAAAAATCAATTTGTTTGTCTTAGAACTCTGTAACTATATTCAAACAACTGCTGTGGTAAACACTGTCCAAAGCATGGGAGAGCAGATGAAGATCTGATTTATGAACCACACGTTTGCTGTTCTTTCTTAAGTTCAAACTGGCATCTGCAAAGGACTGTGCCCAGCAATGAAACACATTCATAAAGTCAAATTAAATTCCATTGCAAGCACAAAACAAAAGCACTGTTTTCAAAACTATGTTTCAAGCTGAAAAGTGTGCCACAAGCAAAGACAAACTGCAAGCAGGAAAAACACAGTGGCGATAAATTACTGGCCTCACCCCAAAACATTCCCTCAAACATTAGGAAATATCATAGTGCAAAAGGACCTCTGAGAAACCTCAAAGAAAGCATGGAACTAGTTACCTCATATCACTACAGACCCACATGAGACTGCAACCTAATTAGTGGTGTGGCTTGCATCTATATAACTGAATTACCACCACTGCTCTCTTATATTAGTAGTTCCCACTTTCAGAAAGGTAGAACGTTATCTGCAGCATTGTTTTCATTTCTGCTTATTGATGCTGAATTTAATTATGCTTTTCTATCTCACAATATTTACAAAATTGGAAATTACCTTCTCAAAATTAAAAATGTATTAGAGAAATTAATGATCAGTTTACTCATCAGTGAACTACTCAGACAACATCTGTTTGGTCATTAAACAAAGCAAATCAGCCTCCAAATACGTGATGTTTCTATTGATGCATACATGTTATGTGAATCGAGAGATCAGGCTTTGTGCCATTTTACATGTGACAAGAACATGTTTTAAGAGCAAGCAATTTTGGCTTCTTTAGTTACAGTCAAATTATCAGTAGTGCCAAGGCACTTATCTAGCAACCACAATGTTGAAAACTAAAGGACCCAGTTCAGCAGACTCAGGTATGAGCTTTATGGATGTGAGAAGACTTCTGAAGCCAGCAGAACCAGCCAGTCATAAAATAAAGTGCATGACTACATCCTGGTAGGATAAGGGCATATAAGAGAACAACCTGAAATAGTCAATAAATGACAGAGTTTGGAACTGTTTGTAAATGTAGCACTTTCCTGATCTCACGGTGGCTCCTGGGACCAGGAAAGATGAAGAACAAATTTCCACTGCAAGCTCAGACAACAGAAAGCCTTAAATTCAAGACTGAACTTCACGTTTGTGAAACTTGGAAAACAAAAACAAAAATCTATCCAAACTGCAGCATTTGTCTCCATTCAAAACTACCCAAGGTTTTCTTGTTTATTCAGCACAGAGGGAATACATTTCAAGCTGATATGTACATGTTTTCCCAGACCAGCGCTTTAGAAACCTGCGATTCAATGTATTGAAATATAACTTACATCTGATGAAGCTGATTCAAGGATAATTCCAAATCCTGAAAGAGGGGCTTCTACGTTGAGAGGGGGTTCAACTGCTTGCAGATTGGAACTTTCAGGGTTTGCTGACAGCTTCTTATCATTCTCTGCAGCACTGGTTTTCTTATTCATAGTAAATGGCTCAACAGTTTTGAGGGGTAGTTTTTTCTTTTTATTTCTCTTTCTTGATATTGTTGACTTTTGTGCACAAATCAGAGGAACAGGAGGTTGTTGTCTGTTTTGAGTCCCAACTGAATGAGAGAAAAGTAATGAATTAAATTTATAGACAAAGAAACTTGTATAACCACACAGACACACCATTAAACTACAGGCACGCTGAACTCATCTTCTGGATAAATGGTTCAGTTTTCAGTGCTGTTTGTGCATGTGGAACAGTTACATTTTATCTCCTTCGCATAATTTTCCAGTATGTACAATGGAGATAATGACACCGAGCTGCAGGATGAGGTATTTGAAGACATATTGATGAATAGTATTGTAAGAAAATCAGAAATATATGGCTCTTCTTCCTACTGACCACCGGACGGCCAGTGGCATGAAGGACGTAAGTAATGATTAATTTGTATGCTCTCTTGAATGACTGAAAATCTCACTGTCTTTGAGCATCTTTTATAAAACAGCACAAGTGCTAATGCAATTACAGTTATTTTTCTGAGCGTAGTCACCAAGTTAATTAGCTCAGCAAGAACATTTCAAATATTATTATGTCAAGAATGAGTGAAAACACTATTCAGTACTTTAATTTTTAGGAAAGAAGTCACACAGATATATCAGGTTGTTTTTCTTGCTCATACATAGAAACTGACAGTTCATGTCTTACTTTTGAAACCTAAGATATCATATTTTATATTTATCAATGTTTCGTGTTTTTCAGTACCCACTATTCGAAGTCATTTGTACAAATGGCACCAGTCCTGAACCCACACCAACGTGACAGAACACTGCAGACACAATGACTTGTCTCCATGGATCAGTTAATAAGATCAAGAGCAAAACAAAAAAGAAATCTGAAGTGCCATACATCTTTGTTTTACCACACGCAAATCAAATTCGTTCCGAACTACAAGTGAAATACAAACGGTCCTCATCTGCAAAGACTAAGGAAAAAAGGAACCTTATTACACTGCTTATCACACAACTCCCAGGGCACTTCCTTCCCGATCAGAATTTACAGTGCTCTAATTTTTTCTGTAGCATTTGGACAGAAGGCCATCTGAATACCAAAAGAAGTTACCACACCTTCATATACTTATTTACATTGTTGTTGTTTTTTTTCTATTAGCAACAAAAAAGACCAAACATTTTCTTTTCTCTACAAAACCATTTTTCCACACATATCAGGAAATATGAAGCACATCCTGGCCTTTGCATTAAGAGATTCCCAAACTTTTTATATGGTAGATACACAATACATCAGAACTGTTCTTGCTATTGAGGAACCAGCTCTTCAGGCGTAAACTCCAGTCTGTACCTCTCACTCACAAGTCATTTTTAATCAGGCACATAACGCAATCAGTTTAACTGTGCAAAGAATCCCCTGTTCCAGCCAGGACTTTAAAACTGGGCCTTCATGTCCTTTTTTGTAAATGGGTGACTTTTTGAAAAGCATTTCCAGTCCAATACAGATTACAAAATCTGTCTGATCCTTCTCTTGGCTCACTGATAAGCCCTTCACTCCACCCATATTTGTGTAATTACTCCACACTCCCTATTCTTAAGAGCTGGTACTGTACAGCTACCATAAGAGAAAAATCTCCATAGCTCCACTCCCTGTCATTCACAACAGATGGGGAACTTAACTGACAAAACCCCCAATCTAACTCTTCATTAATATCTACACTAATTTTTATGAAGTATGGAGGCTGCAGCTTCATTGCAGCCTACAATGAACCACTTAATTCCCAGCTGCCCATTATCTTAGAATCATAGAACCACCCATGTTGGAAAAGATCATCTAGTCCAACCATCCACCCACCACCAATATCTCCCCACAAAACCAAGTCCCTTAGCACAACATCTAAACATTTCTTGAACATCTGGTTCTAATGCTTTTCTGGCACTGCACAGCTCGTAACCCAGCAGAAACCCAGCCCTCAGAGTGTTCCCCAACAAACAGATTCCTGCTAGCCCCATTGGAAGCTGAACATAGCTCAACAGAGGAGCTGATAAGCCAGCCTGAAGAACAGGAGAGCCCACAACGTACAGCAGCTAGCTCAGCTTAGGCTATCGTGAAGCTGGAACTTGAAAGATCTTTAAATGAAATGTTATACAGTAACCTCAAGTTGCCTTCCAAATTTGTTTTAGTTTTGTTTTCCCTAATGTTAGTGAACTAGGTAGTGGCAGGTAAAGAAGCATCTCCCAGTTCTGAACAAATACACACAAACTGGGGGCAGTTATGGCATCTAAGCATACCAGGCCTACCGTTCAGCCTCCATTACTACAGCACCTAGACACACATTAGTCTTCTCAAATTTAGCCACGAAAGATTCTTAAAAGTTAATGTCTCCTGTTATGGGTAAGGATCGGGCCCTGAGAAATAAAAATCACATTTCCACAGAGCCTGTGCAAATTTCACTTTGAACAATGTGTCATTAAAGCAGAAAACAACTCAGGTTCTGCTTCTTTCTACCTACAGGGCAGACTTCTTTCTACCAGGCCATTTCTCCAACAAGGAGATGCCAGTCATGGACACGCATGGGACTGGTCATTGTACCTGACTGAATCTGGATCAGTTTCCTCATGGTCTTGAGCTCCTGAAGAATAGCCTGTAGAGTTGACTGGCAATTACAAGTACAGCAGTTTGGTCCAATTGATGAATTCACCATTGGGATTTCTCCTGAAAGAGAGAGGAAAGAAATAGGGGAGAGATTATGTAACCCACAAATATTATAAAAATAAAAATGACCCACAAGCATTTGAAGCTGTTATCAATACACTTGATCATGAAATTAGATCCAAAGCAAAAAAGCAAATAATTTTCTATGTGGTCCTTTAAGAGGAAGAGGCTGCTAGGTTTTATCCAATTGCTAGTGTGTGCAATTATATACAGTAGGGGATGGCTCAGAGCCTGAATACAATGCACTCTTCACAGCAGGGCTCTCTATTGTCAGGCTAGTTCATCCTGAATAACAATAGCACCAAACCTCATTATAAACATACTCACTTTATCACGCACAAAAAAGCCCATCTCTCAGAGCAGTCCTACAAAGAATGAAGACAGGCTGCGTAATAAAGGTTTATAGTGCACATTCAATGGGGGCCTTAGAACTTTTAAACTGCTTGAATGTTGCATGTGATTCTTTACCACATGAATTGAGAATGAAAATAAAATCTTCTATTCAGAGAAAAATAAAAAGAAAAAAAATAAAATAGCAGACTAGAAATGAACCACCAGCAAGGAAATCTTTCAGATTTGCTCCTCTGTCACCAAATGTGGAATTGTTTCTAATGGCATGTTTTCCAATACTGCAGCCTACAAGATGGGTTTTCTGAAATTTCTCTGATGATTCACATTGTATTTGAATAGATTCTCCTTTTGTAGTAGCTTTTACCAGTATTTAACTGAATTTACACAGTTCTACCTCTTTCCAATGATATTGTTACTGCCTTGGCTTCCAGATGTTTGGCACAGTAGGTCCTCAATTAGGACAGGCTGTAACAGCTCGAAGTTTTCAAGCTTTACCTGAACAGTTGTATCCTGTGCTTTAGTTTGAAATAACAGTATGGCTTTAATACAGCAATAAACAAACAAACAAATCCAAAATACAATAAAACTCCTAGCAATATCTGCTTGAAACTGAGGCCAGATGGACTGTACCTCCCTTCATTTCAGAATGTGCTTAGCATCATTTAAATTGATGGCTATTTTATTGATTGTCAAAGCATGCAAGAGGAGGGATGATCACTTAATGAAGATATACATGAATGGATGGAACAAAAATCATCTCACTTGGTGTCACATGTGGTGGACTTCAGAGGGTGTATTTCCCTTTTTTTTCCTATATCCTGACAGTTATCAGGTGCCCTTTAATCATTTCTTAGCTAAAGTGAACACCAGCAACTCATTTTATCTTTGCTCATAAATCCTTCCATTTTTTCATTATTACTTTTGCTTTCCTCTGAAGCCAAACCAGTTATTAATACCTTTTTAGGTTTGGTTTGCATTCTTTTCATCAGAGCTCCACTGATGTCAGACCTGCACACATTCTCTGACTTCAATTTTCATTTGCAATGGCTAATGGCAACTTAGCCCCAGCTGAACTGATCCAACCCTTTCTTAGGTCTTTCAGTGTGCCCTATGCTTCTCAAAACTCCCTTTCCGAGGTTCTTGTTCTCTGTCCACTTCCATTCAGCCTGTTAGGCGTTATGCAAAATCCATCATACCTGAGAAGAGTGGTGATTTTTCTCCCAGAAATGGGTTACATGTGAAACTAAATCTGAAAGACTCCTGCTAAAACAAAACTGGATTATTGACTCAGCACAACCCTGCTTAGTTTGAACTCATCCTTCCTTTGTATCCTATATTTTCACACTGAAAGCTCCTTGGGGCATAGATTGGATTTTCCTCCTTTGAGTGGCTCATGAAGTGTTTTTAGCCCTCTGTAACATTTTTTTTTCTTTCTGTACTTGTTAAGCTTTGCAACAGGTAACTCAGAACCCTTGAATTTGGCTCCAACACCCTTCTGCCTATTTGTTGATGTAGACTTTTTAAAGCAGATGTGAAGGTCAAGACTACTTTCAAATTTAATAGCATCAGCATAACTCTGTGCTTTCCATTAAGACAAGCAGGCATGGCAGAAATGGAGCATGTTTCCCAGAAACATAGAGTCCCAGAAAATTAGGGAAGTTTATTAATTAGAGAAATGCACAGTAAGAAAATCCTATTCATCCCTTCCTCCAGGCTATACCTTTCTCACTTCTCTGTTGTTTTGGATTAATATGTTCCTTAGGATAAGACTTATGTCTTCATCAGAATCAAGTATTCAAACTGGGACTCTGGAGATAGTATCTGGGAGACTACAGAGGGAGACAGGGCTCCTGGCTTTTGTTTTCTTCTTAACAAAAACTCTACACTGTGGTGAATTACTCATAAAAATTGGACAAAGCCAATTCCACCACTAAATACCTGTACATCCTCCTTGTTGCAATGTAACACAATCCTAATGAAAGCACGCAAGCACTGAGGCTCCCGATGGAAAACCAAAAGGTCTATTTTCCCACCGAGGCATGGGGGATTTACATTATAATCCCCATTAGCATTGATAGAAATTACCCATGTAAATCTACCATAGATACTGGAAACGGGAAAAGAGACCACCAATATTTCAAATCAAAGCAGGGTTCTACTGACTTCATACATATTCATGAGGGTTTTTTATTTTATTTCTACCCTCCCTCTTCTGATCAGCTTCTGTTTTGTAAGAAACATCTTGTAGAGTGTTCTCAGTCATTGTTCCAAGCACTACCTTTATCATTTTTAGAGGACAAAAGCAACCCTTTTCAACTTGTTATAAATCAATTTTTAATTTCAAAAAGAGAACAGACTTTTTATTTTTATGAAGGAGTCTTTAAAGAGCCATCTCCTTCTCTTTTGGAAGCTAGCCAGCATGTGAATTTGATACTGGCTCATATGATTGAGAGAAGACAGAAATACATCACAGAACTACACTGCTTCCCCTGTGTGTGCAGCAAGTAGCCCAGGACAGTGGTTCTTACAGCTGGATCTGCTGAGAGTAAATTCATTTAGTGTAATATTGCTATGCAAGTTTATATTTGAAAAGCATACAAGTGAAATCCATTGCAAACAGTCTTGGCGTAACCAAAAAAAGAAATCCAGCTGCTACATCACTGCCAGATTACCTACAGTTCCGAAGAAGTGAAACTATTTCAGACAGACTCGAGTCTGGTGGCTGTAATTGGATAGGCATGCTTATCACTCTTTATAGCCCTAAGATGCTTCTGCTAAAATCAGCGGGTCACAGACATCGACCTGACATCCTGACTTGCAGAACTGCTGCCTTAAGTCCAGTTTGGAACAAATCACTTTGCTTTGCTTTTTCTTCCTTCTGTTGCTCATTCCTCCTTCCCTCTTTTTTGCCCGTTCTGTGCCAGTATCTTTTTCACAACTGCCTTCTACACCAGCATTTATTGAACATTAATTCCAGCCTTTTCCTGAACCACATTCACCATACAAGTAAATACTAGATCATCTGAGATGCCCATTACATTCAAATTTGAGTAATTCAGGCAGCCTACAGTGAATATAAACCTTAGCTTCCCATCCAATATCTATCCAATGGACAGAAATGGTTTCTTTACTCATATCACCAGCTATAGGGGCCTGGATATCTCCCCAGTCACCACCTAAGCCTGACAAGCCTAGGTTATAATCCTGTGCCCTGAACAGTGCTCTTCTGTCCCCAGAAAACTGTGCTAGATGAGGAGCACTCACAGAGATCACTTGCAGCCCATGTCATTTGCTTTCTTTTGACAGACTGGGCACCACAACCCAAGCAGAGAGACTGCCCAGCAAGATCCACAACACCCAGATGGAGGCAGAACCTGTAATCTGCCCTCAAAGAACTGGGCAAGCCGCCACTCAAAGGTGGCCAGGGGAGAGGGCCCACACCCAGCTTTATGTAATAGCCTAAAGATTACATTCCTTTCTGCAGCAGAAGAGCTGCAAAGGGAGGGGTGAAAGGTGTCTCCACCCGGGCTCCTTCAGCGCACTTCCCCAACAGATGGGAGATGTGGGCATCCATTCTGCAGGGACAGTGAGACCACTCAACCCCAACTGACTTTCTCAGAGCTTATTGAGGGAAATCAACAGTCAGCCAAAAATCTCTTCTCCTCATACAGAAAATATAGAATACTGAAGAGCTGACATTTTCTTGCAGATGGGGCCAAATCCCATCAACATGGTTTAGTTCACATGCTGAATCAGGCCCCTGAGGGGGAAATAGGTGCTGCTCCACCTACTTTCTGGATCCAGGAACAGGCACCTAAGCTGTGCAGGCTCAGGCACTTCTATGCATGCTGAGAATTGTCCCTGCAGGTGCCCACGAACTCTCAGGCCAAAGAGGGAGCCAGGTCCTTCCACACTTAAAATCCCACCACAGTATGCATAGATTGGATTTTGCATTCAAGTCTAAAACAAGCATTAGGTCCCTCTTTGCCCCTACATCTGACTCTAAGTTACACTGTATCTTTAAATAGCAGCTGTCTTTTTTTTCTTCCCCCCCCCTTCTTTTTTTTTTAAAGTAAGTGTTACAAAACAAACAAACCTAGCATGAGTTACTGCAACCTTTCTCCACATCACCTGGTACAGCTGAGTGAATCACTGTCTATAGGGAGAAACAAACTCAGTCCTGTGAAACTTAAGTCTGTGTATCTTTCAGTGCAGGGATGACACTTCTATAGGGCAGTACTGAGAATAACAATAGAACTTTTTTTTGTATGATACAAGCAATGGGAGCGTGTTTGCCTTTAGATAAGGACACATAACTGTACAGGAAGTCTGAATACCTTCAGAGTCAACTAGAAACTGCAATCTACAGAAAGCGTAATCTATATAATATCCTTTTTTTGCCTACCAGATGACAGAACTGAGGTGCTCCTTTAATATGAAAACCCTTCTAAGTGCAAGGCTGAATATCTGGAGGAAAAACCTTAATTTGGATTGTTAAAGAAGACCTTCAAGATTCTGGTAGAAAAACCTTTGTTCTTTCTGGTACTGATGACAGTAAGAGAAATGAATTCAAAGGACACCTCCTCCCCCCCCCTTACTTTAATATAGAATTCTCTGCCAGAACAAGATGGACCACTGTCCTGTACATGCTATTCATAGGTAGGCTCCGTCCTCTCTCGTCTCCAGTGATGCTATCAGAATAAGACCCTGTAGCTACACTGGGATTTTGTACCTTAAATTCAGCAAAGAGTTGTAAGCCTGATTCCATCAGCTTATGACAGTGAACTAGAATCCTGCTCCACAAGAAGTGTCACAACAATGCTACATTACTCATTGCAAAGAGGAGTGGTAGAATTTGACATTTAATTAGGTATGAATATAATAACAATGGCCAAAGCTGTTTTAAGAAGTAAAGAAATTAAGCCTATATAACAGAATTGAGTAATTTTGTCCTATCACCAGGAATCCGTTTTAAAACCTAAAACAGATGGTAGCAAAAAGCACTATGCCCGCTTTCACACCTTTCCAAAGTGATAACTATGTGCCCATTTTGTTGACTCTGAACTACAACTGATTTCAGTGCAGCAGTATCATAAATCATCAGAACAAAGGCAGAAACTTAGTGCAGCACAAGGGAAAAGAAAAAAAAAAAAGCACTATTCTTAGTATCTAGTTGAGATCATACCATTGGATGCCATGGTTCGTGTCTGATTTTGGAACGTTTTGGATCGAGTTCCATATTGCCCTGAAAAATGGTTATCTTGGGGTGATAATTCATTCCACGCGTCGCTCTCACAAGGATGAAGGCTCTCCTCAGACTCCTCAGGGGGATCCAGGCGCTGGGCCCAGGCTAAGTCTAAATCCTGGGGCTCCTCCTTCAGTTTTTCTCCTTCTTTGCCAACTCGCTGATAGATTCTTCCAGTGCTGTCATTCAGTAATCTTCTCATCCCTGTAATTTGTTTTTTAATTTCCCGGCTTTCATCTCCTAATGAAAACAGAGCCACAGTTATCACTGTAAATTAGCAAAAACGGTAATGGGTTGAGATTAGTGATTTTAGATGCCAGCACGTTTCTAGCTGCTGGAGTACAACAGTAAATAAATAAAAAAGAGAAAGACACGGTTGAACAGCAGTGGGTACGTCCTGGGCTACGCTTTAACACAGCAATGCTTGAGATCTTGGTTAAAAGACCTGCTGAACTTGGCTTTCTTCATGCCATTTCTAAAGCTTTGATGAGCAAGATTATTTTTCTGCAGAAGGAAATAATAATAGCTAGAGCAGTTTCAAATACTCTATCCTTTTAAGAGACTGATCCTATTCAGGCATTGACATCACTGAATATTTTCTGAGTACAGCCTAAGGAATCAGACCTTTATGTATCAGTTTGCTATATGCTTAAGAATAGATCCTACAAAGGAAAAAACACAAAGTAATCGCAACACACATACACAGAGTGTAACACTGCATCTATTGATCTTAATAAACAGGATCAGTTCCTTACTTCACAGAATTTAATATTGCCAGATTATACAGGAATAAATTAAAAAGCAGCTAATAACGTATAACTGTACACAGCCTAACTGCTGGATGTCTTCAAAATGTAGATTATGGGCACAAAATGAAAACGCATACAAGAAAAATGTGTCTGTTTCAAATAAATCCAGGACATTTAAATAATAACAATTACATACTTTAATACTCCTGGCTCCATTTAAGTATTAGTTTTATGTAGGAAACTGCTGATCGCACAATGAATATACATGTTTTGAGTAGATAGTAGCTATTTTGCTCATAAAAGCATACATTACATTTCACTAGTAATAAGGAGGTGTTCATAACCACTGCTGAAATAGGAAGCTTCTCTTTTTTAATGGTAATAGAAAAATCAAACATCTTAAGCAAATGGAATAACAAAGATCAAGAAACTGATGGATCGACTCTTCCTACACAGCGTACTTGGTACAGTAATACTTGGTGTCCCCAAACCAATTTGCATTCCCACTTCCCCAGACAAACTGATTTTTAGGAAAGATAGAAAATTTCAGGAGAAATAAAAACAAAACTCTCCAAAATCCCAACGGCAGCGTGCACCGGCTCCAGTACAACAACAAAACACATGAAAGTGTGCTAATGCCTGGCACGTCAACTATTTTATCAATTCAACAGTGCCACTCGCTTGCTTAAACTTAGGCACATGCTCAGATAGCTGGCTAAGCCAGTTAGGGGTTAAAAAAGCAGCAGCACACTTTGGCCAAGCTCAGCATGCCCAGGGACACGTAGCACCCAGAGAGGGAGCTGCTGACAGGGCCTCTAAGCGAGCCGTACGGTCAGAGCTCGCCCGTGCTGAATCAGTGCAGCTCCCACTTGACCCGACACCCTGGTTCCGCTTGGCACAGAACCAGCTGGCTCTAACCCACCCCAACCACAGCAGGAAAAGTGGGTGGCTTTCAGGAAAGCTTCTGGTCTGAACTTCGAAAATAGCTGTCAGCCTCATGCAGAGCTACTAGAATGCTGTCTTCGCTCCAGCTGAAGCACTGAGAAAAAGCCATCTGTGGGGAAGTTCCACATGACGTGTATTTTGCTGTTTTGTCTGCAGATTTATGTGTGTGTATGATTTAATTAACAAATGACACTCGTTGGACTCAAGCCAGCCAGGGGTTCACTGTTTCACTTCCCAGCCTCAATGGGAAATGAGAGGCCACGGAGCACCATGGGATCACAGTTACAGTTCACTCCTGGCTCTAAGCTGAGGGCTGCCTGTTCCAGCCACCCCTGAGTTCCAAATGCTCCCATAAAATCCCTTACCATCACTCCCTTCCTTAAAGCTCTCCCAGAGCTTTATGTTAGCAATTCCCACTGGCCTTCAATAGCAACATGTAGGTAGGATCAAAAAGAATTCCCACCCACTTTCTTCTATTGGGTTTAGTGACTGTATGCACCATTGCTGGTCAGGTGACTCATTGTCTGAAAGATTAAATTTCCCTTACCCAATTACATAAAATATTAATTGAGCCTATTCTGCCTTGATTCAGGTCACATGTTTCTTTTTATAGAGGTCTTCCTCTATAATGACATGAACACATGCCATTTGTCTCCAAACAGAAAAAAAACTACATACGTATCACAACAAACAAAGAACTTGCTGGAAGCTCAGGTTAAGTATATCTTTGCATTTAGATCTCTTGATCCCTAATATAAATGGGGAGACTTCCCATTTATGAACTGCTTTTTCTCCTCCCAAAAATGTCTTCTCATTGGAAGGAAGGTCCTTGAAAACATAATATTGAATATTAGGCAAAGCCTGTAGCACTCAAGTTTACAACAACCCATTCACTCATGCCACCCAGTTATGACTTCTCCATCTTTTTGTGGTTTTTATTTTGTAACTGCCCAGCTACTGCAGCAGCCTTCCCAAAACCATCTGCCTCAGTGCACATGCTGTCATTGAAACAGATTTAACTTCTCACTCTCCCATTACCAGTACAAGCTGGGAGATGAAAGGACTGAGCACAGCCCTGCTGAAAAGGACTTGGGGGTACTGGTGGATAGGAAGCTGGACATGAGCCAGCAATGTGCCCTCACAGCCCAGAAAGCCAACTGTATCCTGGGCTGCATCACAAGAAACGTGGCCAGCAGTATGAGAGAGCTGATCCTGCCTCTCTGCTCTGTGCTGGTGAGGCTTCACCTGGAGTACTGCGTCCAGATGGGGAGTCCTCAGTACAGGAGAGATGTGGACCTGCTGGAGTGCAACCAGAGGAGAGCCAAAAATGATCCACTGATGGAGCACCTCTCCTATGAGGACAGGCTGAGAGAGCTGGGGCTGTTCAGCCTGGAGAAGAGAAGGCTGTGAGGTGACATAAGAGTGGCCTTTCAAGTATCTAAAGGGGACCGACAGGAAAGAAGGGGACAGACTCTTTAGCAGGGTCTGTTGTGACAGAACAAGGGGAAATGGCTTCAAGCTCAAAGAGAGGAGATTCAGGTTGGATATAAATTAAAAGTCTTTTACAGTGAGGGTGGTGAGGCACTGGAACAGGTTGCTCAGAGATGTGGTTGATGCCCTTTCCCTGGAGACTTCCAAAGCCAGGCTGGATCAGGCCCTGGGCAACCTGATCTAGCTGTGGTGTCCCTGTTCACTGCAGGGCAGTTGGACTAAATGGCTCTCAGATGTCCCATCCACCTCTAAGGATTCTATGATTCTATCTCAGCTGGCTGCTAGCTCGAGCCCAATGACAGCATTCCGCTACCAGCAATTCCACTGCTCATCATCTTCACAGATAACAACAACATAAGTTTAAAAAATAAAAAAAAAAAAAAGGAACATCAGGTGCCAAGAAAAAAACAAAGCTCAAACTGCTACATCCTAGGGAAGAGGTTTTAAACTAAAAGCAGAGAGATTTAGATTAGATATTAGAAGAAAATTCTTTATGCAGAGTGGAGGCACTGGTGCTGCTGCCCAGAGAAGTTGCGGATGCTCCATCCATGGAGATGTTCAAGGCCAGGTTGGATGGGCCCTGGACAGACTGAGATGGTGAGGGGCAGCCAGCCCACAGCATGGGCTGGAGCTGGGTGGGGTTTAAGGTCCCTTCCAACCCAAGCTATTCTATGACTCTAAAAGCCAGCCCTCCTTTCCAAATGCTGATCAGGATACCAAAGCACTGAAAAAAATAAAATAAAATAATTCTATCACCCATCTGCAAAAACCTCCTGAGACTGTAGCAAGGACTGGGAGGAACAGTGTTTGGAGTATGCAGCCCAGCCCATAAGCCAAAATTCCATTTCTCTTCCTTCTTTGGGACTTTTCCATCATGCTGGCATGTATTCTAGCCTTCTTGGGGAAGCCACATGGGGGCACACTGAGGATTCTTCAGCACTCCTGGGGAGGTGGGAAGGCCTCCTACCAGCAGACTGAAGGCCAAGGTTTTGCTATTTAGATTGTCCATAATAATCCCTTTGGTTTTATTTCAAAGCAATGAGTTCATTTGCTAAGTATTGCTCAAAATAGATAAGCGTGGCAAATTACAGCCCTGTTTAGGAACTTACAGGTGAACATGTTAGTAACAGAAATGAATTAGCAATTTCTGTAAGAAGTTACTATTATAGTCATTTCTATGATGGCCATCTAAATACAAACTTTTTTTCAGATGGTCTGATTCTGATTTTATAAAACAACAAAAGACAAAAATCTTTTCATAAATTCCAAATCAATTATTCATAAAAAGTAATCTTTCCCTAAATTAAATTCAATCACTTGCCTTACTGAAAGTACGTGCAATGCTAACGCGTACTGCTTTGAAAGCTCCAGATTTCAAATGCACAAATCTGAAACAAGTGTCCTAGTAATGACTGACATCTGTTAACAGAACTGTTAACAACCTTAGTTAATAAAGTATCATTGATAATTCATTAATTCAGTTCTTGCTCCTATATTTCTGAACATTTTCCTCTATTATGCATATTAAACTTAATACACAAATATGGCTAAATGCCTACAAACAGATCACAGTTTTCCAAATAACTTGCCAAATACTATCAAAGCGCAACCTACAGTGACAAAATGGCATGCAAGCACACCCATATGTTAAAACATTAATTATATTCCAGCAAAAAACAGTGGTAACCAAATATGTAATTAATGTACATCTTCTGAACTGGATGTATGAATGAGTGGAGCGAAGGTTGGCCGATAGGCTGTATAACATCTTTTTTCCCCTCTGACATACACAAACACTCTTTTGGCTCGAGGATTTCAATATTTTGAAGTTCATTTCTTTCTTTCTTTATTTTTTATTTTTTTTTTTTTTTTAGCACTTATGATAAATGTTTTGGGAAATATTCACGCCTGGTCGACCTCATAAAAAGTCAGATTTTATCCTGTATTCTGGCAAACAATTCCTAAGGAAAACTTCCTTCCTTGGCTACGTATCAGGCTGCCCACGGGAGGAATGTTGTAGCTCAGAGACCGCCACCCTTGTGTCAAACTGTGAAC